GGTTAACCCACTTGTTTGCCTTCGGCGGAGGCCCTTGGTGATGAGGGGGTCCCTGGGGAGGAGGGGCCCTGACGAATTGGGACAAATGGCCCACATGTATTAATCTCTCGATGGCTGCCTTCAGATGATGGCAGTCATCAGTCATGTGCCCTGGATGGTGATGGTAGCAACAATAAGGTTCGTTAGGATTGATGCATATACCTCCAGGGGTGCGTGTGAATCTCGCTCCATGAGGCCTCTTTCCTCCGCGTAGTCCAAGATAACGCTGATGGGATGCGTCTGAGGGGTGCTTGGGTGCTTCAGGAGGGTCAGCTGGGCCCACGCCCTCGGATTGTTCTTGTAGCCGCCCCCGGGTCTGGCTTGGCCATTACGGGGTCGGTTTGCCGGAGGGGGTGGCCCCTGGGGGCGATTTCTACCTTCGTGCTTTTGTGAAGGCTTCGGGTTACGGCGATCTTTCTCAATCTTCTTAGCTTCGGCATATTGATCCCCCCGCTGGAGAGCATTTGTATAATCGCGGGGGGGGGGGGGGGGATCAGTAATAATGCTCCTGGAGAAATTACCGTTGCGTAGGATGGTGTGGAATAGGGCCATGAGTATTCTATCATCGGCGCCATCGACTTCGATGGAGGCCTGCCTCCAACGTTCTAGGAAACGCCGAAGGGTTTCCTCTTTCCGTTGCCTCACATTCAGAAGGTGGGAGAAATGCATCTTTGACCGGTGCCTCCCGGCGAATTGTGTTAAGAAATGATGGGCAAGTTCTTTCCATGAATCAATGCTGCCCTCGGGCAACCGGTTGAACCATTCATACGTTGGTCCCTCCAAGGTGGAAAGGAACCATCAACATAAATATTCGTCTGATGCCCCCATCATCATCATACGGTTCTGATACCTGCTGTAGTGCTCCTGGGGATCCGTCTTCCCCACATATGGTTTGATGGGTTGTCCCCGATATTTACCGGGGATCTAAGCCCCCAATACCCTCGGAGTGAAGGGCGTCTTCGTGCGGAGCTGGATGAGGGGTTCTCTATTTGTGCTAGTATCGCGGTGTAATTTTGATCAGGCGGCGGAATTGATGTCGTCGGGGGCGCGTGATGTGCCTCCTTGAGCTGGCGCCGAAGGGCCTCGATGATTTCGTCTTTGTGGTCCCTCTGGGGAGCCCCTTGGGAATTTTGGTGAATGGATTGGGCGTGGTTGATCTAATGCCTGGCGTCATCTTCGTGGAGGAGGCCCTTGCCTTTGTCCTGGGGGGAGGTCTCTCCTCGGCCCCCGAGACGGAGCCTCCACTCTCTTGTGGTCTACTGGCTGCTTTCCCACCGAGGCGATCTTGGACCCCTCGGGGCTCCGGGGCTCCCCCAAGCCTTTCGAGGGTGGAGGTTCGGGGCTTCTCCTTGTTTACGCACTGCTTGTCTCGCGATTGGACCTCTTGGGAGGCGGTGTCCTGTGCCATGACCCCCTCGGCATTGTCAACCCGTATGATGGGATTGTTGAACAGAGGAGGGGGTGGCAGATAAGTGGCGTTTCCTCCGTACTGGGGTTAGAGGGGTGCCTGCGTCATGAAGGCGCCAGGGTTCATGGTCACGTTCTGGACGAAGGCTGTGAAAGCGGCCTGGAGGTCGATGGTTGGAACCGAAGGGGGAACTTGGTTCTCACTCCGGTCCTTCCTTCGATTATCCAGACCGATTCGGGCATCGGGGGTAGCCCTCTGGATCTGCTGACGGAGGTCAGAAGCGGCTTGCTCCATTTCGGCTATTGTGCCAAGCTTGGGAATCCGGTTGGAGGCCTCAGCCCCATTGGTTTCACCGAGGGCTACGTGGTTTTCCTCAAGGGTTTTGGATTGACCGCGAGTTCTTCCCATTTTGGTAGGTGTTTTGTGTTTGGTGAAGGGGAGGGTTTCTTACTTGATTGTTCGGACCTCTCAACAAGAGCACCAAATGATGGATAGTGTACCCGAGGGTAGTTTATCCGAGGGTTATTGCGGAGAATAACTAGAGAGAAGTCAGAGCAAACAAGTAGGAGAGAGAGTCAAATGTATTAAATGAACTCAGTGTGCTTTACAAGGAGAATAAGAGCTGATATTTATAACAGTCATAAATGCGATGAGAGTACACGTGTCAACAATCTAACGGCCGAGGGGTCACCTCAATCGGGGTGGCACTGGCACTCACATGTGCACCGCATTAAATGTGGTGGGTGGATGTGACGCTACATTGAATGCGGTGGTTGCCAGTCCCCAAAGGGAATCTTCGATGATTGCGCCGTAGCCGAAGGCTTCTTTGTGGCCGGAGCCTCTGTGTAGCCGAAGGCTACCCTTATGCCGAGGGCACCTAGGAGCCGAAGGGTCATGATTTCTGCTATTTTCTCCCAGTGGCTTTGTATGCCTAAAATCAATTGTTTCCTGGAATTTGGAGCATTCGGCCATAGGGACGAAGCACCCATATGTGCACTGTGGGCTTCTCAAGACTTGGGCCGCTGTGCTTGGGCTTCGTGTGCTCGTTGGACCTGTGTTAGAGTAGTAGGAGTCTGTGGGTCGGGGGTTCCCGGGCCATAAACTCCATCAACCATGTTTCTTCCAATAATGGCATGTAGTGAGATTATTCCCATCATTGGACTTGGACTTGCTTCTTGAGTTATTGTGACCTTGAGGACCCCTAATCTTTCTCCTTCATGTGTTCTCAACAACAAGAGCATGTGTATTATCAACTCTTATCCCCTTTCTTCTGATTTCCTCATTAAACATACTTTCTTTGATGACATCCAAAGATAGCACAACCATCTGGAGCAGAGTTACTAATAGTTTTCAAGGTTTCCCAAACCATCTGGACCAAGGTTTCCCAATGGTCTAGCAAAGAACTCAATATAAATAAAGCGTGCAACTCATCATCAAGAAAAAATTTCATGGTACTCAACTTGTTAATAATATCCTGAAAATCACTAAGATGCTCAGAAACAGACTTTCCATTTTTCAATTTCAAATTAACAAGTTTCTTAATCGAAGAAGCTTTATTATGAGCAGTCTTCCAATCATAAAGATATTCCAATTTATTCCATAAATCATATGGATCAGACTCTTGTGACACATGGTTGAAAATTTCGATATCAACTCATTGTCTAATAGTTCCTAAAGCCTTTCTTTTCAACTTTAGCCATTCTTTCTCTTTCATTTTATCTGGTTTGGATGGTTTAGAAACCATATCATCACGATTGGTGACAAATTCAATTGGGTCATACACGTCCTTACAATATAACATGTCTTCCATCATAGGTCTCCGAATAGAATCATTAGTTGATGTCAATTTTACCATCGAATTGCTACTGCCCGACTCCATAATGTGACCAATTAAACTCCGCCTCTGATACCAAGTTGTATGGATCAAATAAAGGCTCTTTATGACACTCACAATGTCACACACTCAAGACAATCAACTAAATAAGCAACACACTAAACCCAAATTGTCACACAACCAAATTATCACATATAGTCAGCATTATTGCAGAATATAAATCACAACAATGAACGGAAATAAAGCACAAGGAGCACACACAATTTTTTACATGGAAAACCCTTCAATGTGACTGATAAAAAACATGGGACCTCTTGAGGAGTCTACCCTTACTTGTTTTATTGATAAATTAGAGTAAAAGAACCCCAAATCAATCTACAAAGAATTCACAACCCACCAACAATCACCAAGAACGATAAGAGATCAAAATAGCACAATAAGGTGTAGAAATCACCCAAAGCTGCAAGTCTGTTCGATCAGCATTTCTGACCAAACTAGAGCTCAACAAAACAATCCGACTATTAAAAAATGAATCCCTTGAAGTCACGAACAAACAGTCCAAATTTCAGCAAAATCCGACCACGGGAACACCTCCGATCGTAGAGCTGATTGAATATGCGCACTGCAGGCCGAAAATCGGAAATCTTGTCAAAGTTTTATGTTGTGGTGTGTGTGGATTAATCTTCCATACCCTTAGAAACCTGATATTTCGCAGCAAAAGAACATCCAAAAAACTTCTCTTGGAAGCTCAAAACTCAATATCAAATGGACCCATAAATAAGACATAAAAATCCATCATAAAGGCCCAAATCTAAACAACAACAACAACAATATAAAATATTGCAAATATGGGCCGGACCCATAACAATTTACCCTTAATGAAGAGTAGTCGGACACAATAATTAGAAGATGATCTAATGGTTCCTATTTATTCTTATTTCTCTCAGAAGATGATTTTCTCATTTGAACTTCAATATATATATATATATATATATATATATATATATAGAGAGAGAGAGAGAGAGAGAGAGAAATGCTCTTGTCCAGCAGTTCGGACAGAAGCTGCCGTTCGATCATCGTCGTTTGGGGCGGTTCCCCGTGGAAGTTTTTGATGAAATTTTTTGGGCATGTTCCTCATGAAGTCTAGTTTATCCACAAAACATTTTGGATCAAAATTCGATCGGGAATGTAGTGAATAATTGTTTGAAGTTGATTGCGTTTTTCTATGCATAATTTGGTGCAGTGAACTTCAAAAAATGAGTTGACTGTCTTCCCAATCGAAATTTTAGTTGACATGTTTTGTGGATAAACTAGACTTCATGGGGAACATGCTCAAAAAAAATCATCAAAAATTCCATAGGGAACCGCCCTAAACGGCGGTGTTCGGACGGCGGCTCCTGTCCTAACCGCTGGACAAGAGCACTTCTCTCTATACATATAAAAACGCAGTCAACTTCAAAAAATGATTTGACTTCCTTCCTTATCGAATTTTGAGCTGAAATTTTTTGTGGATAAACTAGACTTGATGAGGAAAATGCTCAAAAAAAAAATCATCAAAAAATCCAACGAGAACCACCCCAAACGGCGATGTTCGGACAGGGTTCGGACGGGTAGTGCTAGACAAGATCATTTCTCTTTATGTGTGTGTGTGTTTATAGATATATTTTTATTTTTATTATATCCTCCAGCCCCTCCCCACAAGAATTCATCTAAAAAATAGTTTGTCCATTGCAAATAAAATAAAATAAGCAAAGTCTCCAACTGTAATAGACGTAGCGCGAAGCTAAGCTATGGCAAGCCACATAAGTTAGCGAAAACCATTAATGGAGGGTATCCTTTTCTTTCCTTCAAGTAGGAAAGTTCAAATCAACAAGCTACTTCTCGACGTCCCCTCCCTCTCTTACCCTGTCCTACCCACCACGGCACCCACCATAAAAGTTTCTGATATTTAATGGTTCCAGCCAAATTCTTCCACTTTTTTGTGCCTTTTAATTACATCCAAGACAGAGAATAAAAATTTCTTGCCAAAAGAAGAAAAAAGCTGTGAAAAGAGGAACAAAGTAGAGAATAAATGTGGCAAACTCTGCCCCACAAATCTTCTCTTAGAGAATCACTTAAAGCCCTCGAAGCTGATGTTCAACATGCCAATAGCTTGTAAGTTGCACTTTTGTTCATTACCCATGGAATTCTCTATGCCTCTTTGCAGAACTATCTATGGTTTACTTATGATGAAGTGTTTTTTCTAATTTTTCCCTTTTGGGTTTCTGTGTTGAGATATTCGTGATATGGGAGTTGGTTGAACATGCATTTGGTGGTCGGGTGTTCAGGTTAATGAAAATTCATGTGTTACTTATAAAATATTTTAACCTGAGATTTTTCTTTCAATTCCTAGACCAAGAAAACTTTAAGCATGTTATTATGCCCTTTGTACGATATTTTTTGGTGATGTTCCAAGATTTGCAGGTTAGTTTTAAATTATCAATCTTCCAGGGGACATGACCGTAAATAACTAAATATGTAAACTCATCACCTCCCCAACTAGTTGAGATTATTAAGAAGCTGGTAATGATGATGACATTCCAAATGCCCACAATCATTTTTTCTGGATATTTTTTTTCGAATCATTTTGCTTACTATTTACTTTGTTTTCCTGTGATATTATTTTTTCCTTACATTGGTTTATAGTGTTGAACTAATTCTAAACAACTATTGAAATTATAAATTACATGTTACCTACCCCAACTAGTTATGGTTCAGGTGAAGGTGATGATTCCTGATAATATTCTTGAAAAGCAAAGATACACAGAATTGTTATGGCCTGCCTCTATTTGAGAGTCCATGTGAATATTGCTATGATGTATTATGTGTGTGTGTGTGTGTGTTTATCTCTTAACTATATTTTATGTCAACATTATTGTGCTTTTCGCTAGTAACGCAATGGTTATGTCTGTGAGAGCTTAAGAATGGACTTTAAAATGGTTGTGTTCAATTGATGAGTTTTGCAGGGCAGGCGCACTACCATTGGATTTAAATGGGCATTGTGTCCTCATGAAGGTGGCATATAGCCCTATGGCCAATTTTTTGCTATTTCTTATAGAATGGATGGACTATAGTTGCTTGGATTCTATTCCAAGCTGGTTAGGCCTCCTTCATATACTTGTATACAAAGTAAGCATTTCGTAGCCGTTGTAATATTCACATCTTTGTTTTGCAGCCCATTTTGTTGTTGTACTTTCACTATAAGCATTTTTTTTGTACATAACTACATATACAATCTTTCTAAACAAAGGACGGTTCTCCCACTCATGGAGAAAACATCGTACGTCTTATCACCTATGTAGTGCCAAATAGTTGTGTTGGGGTGTATCCCAAGTATTAAAATTTGGATTTTCATTTAAAAGGTCAATTTTATAGGAGGATTAGTTCAAGACCTTATCCTGCACGACAAGATGATGTCTCATCGAAGTAGACCAGTATTGAATTTTGTGTGAGCATTATTGAGATTACTAATATACTTACTAGGATCTAATTACTCGTTGAACTTAATTGGCTTTGATACCATATTAACAAGTCGGGGTTTCTACTTCAAAGGGTCAAATGTCAATCTTATAGGATGAGTAGCCTAATGCCTTATCGGCAAATCCCACATTGAAATATGAGGGTGTCACCTTGATTTAAGTATCCACCTAACTCTACTCTATTAGTATGATGCCATTCAGAAGTACCAATCCTTCCATCAGAAAAAACTGTCATGATTTACTTGGCTTAACTGCTAGCTATTGTCTTATTTGTACTGCTATGACTTCATGTCGGCTAAACCTTAAAGAAGCTAACTTAAGCTCACGGCCAGGTGTACATTGATGAAATGCCAACCATGTCTCCCCACGAAAGGACGGCAACCCTCAGAGATTTTTATGGTCTGCATCTTTCCCTTCTGCATCTTTCATACACTTATCATATAAGACTTTGACTTTTCAGTTTCATCATCATAATCCTCTATATTTTCAATATTTGGTTCGGGCATTTCAGAAGGAAGGAAAAGGAATGATAGTTTTTTAATTTCTAATTTCTCTCTATTTTTTAGTTTTAGGTTAGATATAATTTCATAAGGGAAAATCGCACTTTTAGTCCCTCAAATAGTCAGCATATTGAAATGTCAGACTCGTATTCTCAAGTTTGTAAATGTCACCCCCTCAATTCTCCACATTGCATCAAATGTGGTCCTTTGAGGGGTGAAATGTACTCATTGCCCACATTGTACATTTCACCCCTTAAAGGGCCACATTTCCAGCAATTTAGATAATTAAGGGGTGACATTTACAATCTTAGAAACATGGGTCGGACATTTCAATATAGTGACTATTTTCAGGGACTAAAAGTGCGATTTTCCAATTTTATAATTAGTTGGATCATATATTCCTATATATTGTCTAAAATTACTTAATTAACAACTATTTTAAAGTAAAAACTATCAAATTTAACATCTCATATCCAAACAAGCGCTAAAGAAGATCACTATAGCAGTGATACTTCACAGTATCATACTGTACACTAGATTTTCATATTGTCCAAAATACCAAATAGGACATCAACCCGGCCATTAAAATTCACAACAAAATGTACAGCTGTGATATATCCTTCACTGAAGCAGCTGCAAGGCAACCTCATCGAATTAACAGAAGACAATAGTAGGGGACTGGAAGAGATGGTACAACCTTGTGAAGATCTTCAGAAAGAAGACGAATGTGGCATATGCATGGAAAGCAGTGCAAATATGGTGTTGCCTAATTGTGGTCATTCCTTATGCATTAACTGCTTCCATGACTGGTATGTATATATGCATGTAGGGCTTTCATTTCTTTTCTTTTTTTGAGAAATAATATTATATATAATATTATACGGAGTATATAATAAATGTGAACTGCAACTAAAATCTGAAGCTTATATTTGGACTTCCCTTTGATAATTTATATTATGCGGAGTAACTTCTTAACAATGTCAAGTCTTTTTATTTAGATTGAACATAAGTAAGATTTAATGTCACTTTTAGTCCTAAGGCGATGTGTCAGTGACACTTTTGACGTTTGTCTTTGAATTTTTCTATTTTTAGCCCATTGCCATTCTACAAAGACACTTATGACATATAGTACAACATTGAATATTTTTACTTTTAACCTTCCAACTATTGTGAAAGTGGCTTTTTTGTCTTTCAACAATGAATTTTGCCACAGGCCAACAACAGGGAGTGCACCAAAAGTATCATTACTATGATAATAGTAGAATGACAATGTTACTTTCACAATAGTCAAAGTGGAAAAAACACAGAATACCAAAAGTGTCCACAATGGTCAAAGAACTAAAAATGAAAAAATTTAAAGATGAGTATCAAAAATATTTTTGACAATACAGTGAAAGGATCAAAAGTAGAAAAACTTAAGTAGACAGTTGATTGGTGGGATGCTAGGTACATCCGATCTCAATCGTGCCCATTTTGCCGAGGGAGCCTAAACCAAGTGGACTCCGGAGATCTGTGGGTTCTGACCGACAACTCTGATATAGTCGACACAATCACGCTTGCATATGAGAACCTAAGACGGTTCTACCTATACATGGATAAGCTACCGCCTGTAGTGGCTGTAACAAATGCATCACTTTATGATTACCTGATGTAATATGTGGAAGAAGAAGAGATCATGGATTTCAAGCATTGAGAATTTGTATATTCAAGTGAAGCATGACTATGACTTCTAAATGGAGCTGTAAATATATATACTCTGTAACGTAGTTGCAACATAGGTTTCCTACTACCTACAAGTCTACAATACGGGTGGGCATGGTTCAGTTCTGGTCCCACAAATAGGAGAACTATGACAGGCGGTTCCAAGTCCGGTTCCTGCGGGTTCAGTTCTTGCCACACAAGAATTTAGTAGCTTGTAATGATAAATAGTTAACAAATAAGGGTGCACACACTATTTGGATGTATTGATTACCATTGACAAACAAGTGAAATTCAAATAATTTCAGTACCATATTTGGGCACCTCTATGGATTATGTTTTGGAATTTGGACGCAATAGACATTTCTTGTTGGTAATGATTTGTTTTTTTTTTTGAATATATCCTGGAAATATACAAGTGTTTCATGTGGTTCCACGATAATTTATTTTGTTCTACGAATGTGGCTTATTTTGAAGGGAAAATTATTTGAATGGCCATTAGCCTTTGATATTTTAAGAGCCGATTTGGTGAGCTTGTTTTTTGATTTATGGGTCTTATCGATCAACATTTTCACCATACATGTAACTTTTTATTTTACGCGTTGAATTGTGTAATAATCAAAATAAGTAAGGTTTGTCTTTCAAAAAAAATCAAAATAAGTAAGGTTTAAGTTATTGTTAGGGGTGGACCCAGTCGGGTCCTTGTTCCGTGCCGAGATTAGCCGGTCTTTCCCAATTAAAATGGGTATCTAGGACCGGCCCGGAATATACTAGTCCCGAACTGGGTCGGGTAGACCGACCGGCCTGATTCCGATTTTGGGCTTTTTATTTATTTTTAAATATTATTATAGTAACTTAAAATGAACAAAAAAACTATATACATTAAAAATTAAAGAAAAAATTCCACTTTTGGTCCCATGACTATTATATCACTTCCACATTTAGTCCGTTACTTTCAGATTGTCCACATTTAGTCCGTGACCATTATCCCCTCACCACCCCTCATCCTTCCGGCCAAAATTCTGGCAAATTTAGTCCACTTCTCAGCCTCAGAATCAGTCTTTGCATTAAATTCTGTATCAAGTTGGGTTTTTCATATCAGTCTTCGCATTAAATTTGGTTTTTCATACATAAAATCTGCATTAAATTTTCCGGAATTTCGGCCGAAAGGACGAGAGGTGGTGAGGGGATAATGGTCACGGACTAAATGTGGACAATCAAAAAGTAAGGGACTAAATGTGGAAGTGGTATAATAGTCATGAGACCAAAAGTGGAATTTTTTCAAAATTAAATGTATGTGCACTAAAATTCAATTGACTTCTACATTTAAAAATACTTAATTTTTTTTTAAAAAAACATCAAAATTTGAAGTATGCATACTACATATGATTATGTGTATAAATATTAAATAGGTACCTGCTAAAAAAAATCTATGTAGACAATACTAGAAAATATTTTGAAATCTCACTCTTCAAAGCTCTCGTGACTTTGATGAGTGATCGTTTCCTCCATGAAATTGCGTGTCCATGCAATGTAATTTGGAGTTTGCCAGCGAGACTTTAACCAATTGTGGAAACACATGAGCATCCCAAAAGATCGTGCGATTAATTTCATTTTATAATCATTGAAGATGTTGAGATTGTCTCAAGAGATTGTCTATAATGTTGAGATTAAATTCTAGATTGCCTTTAAAGAATAAGGGCTACTAATATGTACTACATTCATCCTCTCGACATTTGTACAATTCTAGATTGTCTTCACCATCGTTTCCGACGTCTCCTGCAATAAACATAAAGAAGCAATGATTTGTTTAATTGTCGTCCTCAACCTATCTTCGACATCTTCTTCAACTTCCATTGTCGAGGTCCTCAATTTTAGAAATACAAATCAGCATATTGCGTATGAAATACAAGGCATATTAAAATGTCCCACAAGTTGCTTATAGAAATAGAATGTATAATCTATAGTTTCTTTTCATATTATTAACCTTTTAGGATGAAACAACTATTTTTAATATGACATTTGAATCTATTAAACTCCAATGAACAATTAGATCTAGAGTCAATTCAATATGATAAGCATCAACAATGAACACACAAATTACAAGATTGGTCTGCTCACAGGAGCCATCATCTTGAGAGCCATATTAAACCGTTTGACACTGTGTATGTTACGTATAAAAACATATGTAATCAAGCCACATTGATTGCATATAAAAAAAACAAGGATTACATAAAATCTTAGATTACACCTAGGCATGGAATCGGGCCGGGTCGGGCTCGGGCCGGGCCTAGCCATGGTCGGGCCGCCGGTTTATAACACATATACCCGGAACCGGCCCGAGGTTTGGACGGGTCCGGTTCAGGCCGGGCCACCCGCCCGGGTCACGGGTTCGGGCCACCCGTCGGGCCGGGCCGGGCCGGTTAACACTATTTTTTTATAATTTATACTTTATAGTTTTATACAAGTATTAAAAACAAACTTCAAGTGCATTTATTTGAAATGAAATAGGAACTACATTTGAAAATTAAGAGAAACATACAATATGAAATACATTTTGTAAATTGTAATCAATCGGAACATCCCGCACCTCCCGATCCTTTGGCTTTGTCACATGACTTAATATGCTTCATTGCCATCCTGTATCCGCCTGAAACCCCCATGCTACATTTTCCCCGCACCATTTGCAAGTTGTGTACCACATCCCGGTCCTCGGGTCCTGCTTATCAAAATTATTATACCGTATAACGGCATATTGACTTTCCATCTTAAAAATGGTAGATATAATAATTCTACAATAGATGGAGAATGGAGATTAGAGATTAGATGTTGGAGAAGATGTGTATAAAAATGTTAGAAAAAAAGAGTATTTATAGAATTTTTTGTACCCCACCCACCCCCACACCCAACGGCTCTATGCCTCTATTGATTCAAATTTCAAACAACCAACTACCAAAGTGGCTATATAGCCGTTTGGGGCTTTTGATTTCAATTTTTTTTGTATGTTTTAGTTTGAATAAATTACATAATGTAAAATTAATTAATTAATTTTATGAATTCAGTAAAAAATGCTACACATAAAAAAATGAATGTATATTTATTTGAAATATGAACTACAAGTTTACAAGTTACAATTGAGAATTGAAGGTAAAATTAAAACATGAAATACTAATCAATCATTCAATCGGAATTTCTGACATAGGTAGAGCCACCCTCTGTTGTAGATTCATCCATAAAGTGTTGGGATGGGGTGATGTCAATTTCTTGAGCTCTACGAACCGCTTTCAACCAATCGTGGTAGCATATAAGCATCTCAAGAGATTCTGCGCTCAACCTCGTTCTACATTGCGTTAGGACATTGTCGGCCGAACTAAATTCTTGTTCCACGGCAACTGTTGAAACCGGCATTGATAGCACTTTCTTAGCCATCTTTGCTAAAACTGAAAACATTCTTTCTTTTTCCCTTCCACCAGTTTAGTACGTCAAGATCATCATCTTCTTCAAAATCAACATCATATGTTAAATACAAAGAAATCTCATTAATTGTGCTTTGTTGCGTAGCGGGAGTTGATTTCGTTTTTTTAATAAGATTGGCAAATGTAGATTTGAAAATTGATTTTCCTTTAGATGATTGTGTCGGGGGAGGGGGCGCATTGTCATATTGTGCATGAAACTCATTAAATAATGCATAAAATATATCACTAACCTCGTTGTATTCTTTTTACGGGTCAATTAGGTTGTCCTCATACATTGGCAATGGACCATCTTGCACACATAAATTTAAAACATGACATGCACATCGTTGATGAAAAAATCAACCCATCAAAGAAGTAGAACCACATAATTCACGCAATCTAGAAATAGCAGCAGTATTATTAGTAGCAAACACCTTATTAATTAAATTATACTCAATTAAAATACGTTCAATCAAAATATAAATATGTTCAGCGGTGTGACGATCATTAAATTCACGGAAAGCAAGAACACGTTTATGCATATGTCAATCATTATCAATATAATGTACAGTTAGACCCAAATAATGTAAATTATGATAAGTATCCTCCCATATGTCAGAACATACAGTAACACGCCCATCAAAGTTTGCAAAATAATTTTGTAACCTTACCTTTTCCGCACCATAAAGCCTTGAAATTTCTTTCTTAACCGTTTTGCGACTATAACCTCTATATTGTGGATTTAAACTAGTGTGTGCATAATCACGAAAAGCAAGACTTTCAGAAAATAAATAAGACAAATTTTTTTCAACAAGTAAGTTAGCCATACCAGTCAAATTTTGTGCATCATTGTATGATAAATTACCAAAAGCTTGTTGGTTATTTGCAAACCTCGATATTTGAGTTTGCTTCCCCGTTCCGCCGCCTAATTTTGCATACTCCACCGGGTGTTTGGACTTAAGATGTCTTGTGGCGGATCCGTATCCGCCGGAAATCCCCAAGCTATAGTTTTTCTTGCACCAATTGCAAGTTGCGGTCCAATTCCCGGTGTTCGGGTCCTTCCACTTAGAAAAATTATTAGCCATTAGTTCAGATTTACTTTTTTCGTACCGGTTTGGGATGAGGCAGGCTCGTCGACGTTGTGGCTGCCACCACCCTCCTCCTCCTCGTCGTGGCTCTCTGGAATTACTTCGTCCACATCGTCATCCTCGAGCTCTTCTTCGTCAATGGTCCTCGGTTGGTCTTGAAAAAAACGGCAATTATGTCGGTGCAATTCTTGTTCTAGTTGTTCGTCGTTCATCGCATCCTCATCCCTCCTTGCGTAACCCTTATCAAAATCATCTCGACTTTGAGATGAAGAGCCGATATGTGATTTACCTTTGCGGGATCTCTTCCTCGCAAGCTCTTTCGTTCGGTTGCGATCGAGGTTACCCATATCAACCGAATATCTAGGACGATCCATCTAAAAAAGGTAACAAATATTAAATTGCAACAAATACATCAATAAAAATATATTAATAGAAAATTGGAGTTATAGCAAATTAGTATTTTAAAGTTTACTTTAATCAAATTAACTAGTGAATTAACTAGTGAATTAACTAGTTTTGTGTGCAACCTATTTTTTTTACTAACAATGAAATTAATATACTTTATTTAACTTTAACTATAATGAGAATTAACTAGTTTTTTAAACTAGAGTCAAAGGTAGCAATTAATAAAAAATTGTAATAAAGTAATTAACTATTAATCTAACTATTAATTCGAGTTATAGCAAATTAGTATTTTAAAGTTTACTTTAATCAAATTAACTAGTGAATTAACTAGTTTTGTGTACAACCTATTTTTTTTACTAACAATGAAATTAATACACTTTAACTTTAACTATAATGAGAATTACAACTAGTTTTTTGTACAACCTATTTTTTTTTACTAACAATCAAATTATTATAGTTTAACTTTAACTATTATGAGAATTAACTAGTTTTTTTCAAGTAACGTTAATACAAAATTAAATAAGTGTAAATAATAGAATGATTTCGTACCTCTTTCGGACTTTCGGTCTTTCAGATGGGAGTAATAGAATGACTTCAAATTAATTAGATATAATTCCAATCATATTAATAGATATAATAAACGTAAAAGTAATACTATCTATATAATTAGATAAGAAATATAAGTAATATAATGTATGTATTTATAAATTATAAGTAGATAATTAATATAAAGTAGATATATAAATATAATATATTGGAGAATAAGAGAATTAGAGAGTAGAGTTAAGAATAGGATTTCGGAAGATACCCCACCCCCAACCCCCCACCCCCACTGCAGCCCACCCCCAACGGCTAGTTTGGCCCAAAAAAAATTTAAAAATGTGAACGTTGGACCCATACCCGGGCCCGGCCCGACCCGGCCGGGTCAACTATTTCCGGAACAAAGCCCGCCCCGCCCATCCCCCCCCCCCCCCCCGGTTCGGGTCTACACCCGGTCCCGGACCGCCAGACCGGCCCGGTCCCGAACAGCCAGACCGGCTCGGTCCCGGGCCCGTACAGTAGCGGGCCGGGCCGGGTCACGGGCCAGGTGGCCTGAACCGAATCCACCCCTAGTTACACCTCTCATAAGATGACATTTAAAATGGATCCAATTCTTAAGAATCTCACTCTTTTGAGCAGATAGTACATCTAGGGATGGACCAAGGGGTGGCCCAAACCGATTCAACCCGGCCCAGGAACCGGCCCACTACTGTGCGGGCCCGCACCGGCCCACTACTATGCGAGCCCAGACCGGGCCAGTTGGGGATGGGCGGTTCCCGGCTTTAGCCCGGTTTGGAATGTTTGGGCAGGCCAGGCTCGGGCCCTATTTTTCATGTAACGGCCCGGGCAGTCCGGGCCGGGCCCGATTCTTTTTTTTTCAATTTTTTTCATTTCCTCTGGTAGGGATGGATGATTTAGGGGGGTTTGGGGGTGGGGGTCAGGGATGGGGGTCAAGGGTTAATTACAAAGCCAAAAAAAATTACATTGAACCGGCCCCGGACCGGCCCAATTTGGCCCGAACCCGGTATCAATCTGGGCCGGTTCCGGGCCCAACAGCCTGGAAAAAAAGCCCTGCTTGAACTGGCCCAGAGCCCGGCCAAACCCGGGCCCGGTCCATGCCTAGATGGACCAGGACTGGTCGGACCAACCTGGTACCGGACCGGTCGGACTGGCCTGGTACCGAACTACTACTGTGCGGTACCGGACCAGACCGGTTAACTGAAATCAGAACCGGGCCTTGGGCCCGAACCGGTGGGGTGTTAGGGCAGGTCATGGGCTCAAGCTCTCTTGGAAGTTGGAACCGGCCCGACCAGTCCGGGACCAGTTCGAGCCCAAAATGTTTTTTATTAATTTTTTCGAATGGATTGGGTGGTAGACGGGTTGGGCTGGGTGGTTTGGGGTGGGGGTAGGAATAAATAAGAAAAAAATATGTATATACATAAGGCCCGACCCGGTCCCGGACCCTACCCGGTCCGGTACCAGGCCTTCAACTCCCAAACCCAGTACCACCCAAGGCCCGACCCAGACCCGATCCCAACTTGGCCCTAAGTACGTCTACAAACAATTACAAATTTTTATAATAGAAACCAGCTGAGTTGTGGACATGTCTATTCAAGGTTAACAATACGTCCGTATTATTTTGTTTTTCCAAGAATACTTTAGCCTGTACTACGTATCCGAATTCTCGTCCATAAAGATGACATGCTGCTGCTGCCTTGTAGGTGAGGAGCTCTGTGTCGCCTGAAGATGTATAAAAACATAAATGTAAATGTAAATTGGAGCGTCTGAGAATAAAAAAGATTAAAAAATATTGGCAGGGTTTGCGCATTGATAAGCTTGTTAGGATCCCATGTTGGAAATTAAAGATAGAAAAATTGGTCACTAACGGATGCATCTTCAAGACTTTGGAGGCTTTTGGAGGCCCCCGACAAAAAAAATATCATATTCAAATCATAAAAAATACTCCCTCCGGTTCTTATTAAAGTTCCCATTTTCCTTTTGGGATGTCCCTTATTTAAGTTCACACTTCCATTTTTAGGAAACAAAACAGTGCAAAACAGTGTCAAACAGTGCCAAACAGTGCCAAACAGTGCCCAAACAGTGTCAAACAGTGCACTCCACAGTAAAGTCAAATTCATTTTCTTAATATGTGTGAAGTCAAACAGGGAACTTAAATAAGAACCGAAGGGAGTAATATGAAAAAAGCATATTCAAATTGCAGCTATAATGTGAACGTCTAAGGGAAAAATTCATGAAAGAGAATTTCATTAGTTATCTTAACTTAGAATCATTGCCCTAAATGGGACTAAATTCTTCCTAAAATTCCTAAATAGGACTAACCATATGGGAATGAATTTCACTAGTTATCTCAACTTAGAATTAAACATATCTTTTTTCCCCAAATGGGACTGGATTACCTATTTACCCCCTATTCTTTCTCTTTCCCCTGTGTATCTTTCTCTCTTGCCCCTTGCGCATCTTTCTCTTCTTTTTCTCTCCCTCTTCTCCTGCATCTTCTCCCCCCAAGGCACACATCTTCTTCTCCCTTCCCCTTCGCACTCGAACAACCATAGCTTCGAGCCCACCGCCTCTGACGTGAAATCCTCCGCCACTGCTCAGTCATAGCCATCACCGTCGACGTCGCCGCCAGGGGTGGACTCGAGTCGGGCCAACCGGCCCGAAACCGGACCGGCCCGCTACTGTGCGGGCCCGGCCCGGCCCGGTGAACCAGTTCCGGGCTCGGTTCGGGCCAACCGGCCCGGTGGGATGGCAGTTCGGGCTCGGGCCCATCAAAAGGTGAACCGGCCCGGCCGGGTCGGGCCCGGGTCGGGCCATTTTTTTTTTTTTTGAATTTTTTTTAAGTTTTTGGGTTGGGTTGGGTATTTTGGGCCATTTGAGGTGGTTAGGGTTGGTTTGGGGGTGAGGGGGAGGGTTGGGGGTTAACTAGGAAAAGCCAAAAAAAATAGAACTAAGGCCCGGTCTGGCCCGGACCCGGGGGTTACCCGGACCGGTTCCGGGCCTCCCCTTCTTGAACCGAGGCCCGGCCGGGCCCGAACCGGAACCGGTCCATGCCTAGTCGCCGCCGTCGCCGCCGTGTTTGTTCTCCCCCTCTTCTCTAGTTCTCTCTTCCCCATGCTCCGTTTCTTCTTTGATTATTACAAAATGCCAAGTTAAATTCTGAAAATGCCATCATAATGGCATTTTTAGTCTTCAAAATTTTTATATTTTCCTTTAAAAATGCCATTTAGATGGCGGTATGATGAAAAACTTGGCATTCACGCCAGCAACGGCCAGATCTGCAACTGAAAAGGTCGGATTTGCGGTGACAGATACCGGATTAGCTGCGACGGTGGCCGGATCTACAGTGGCAGCGTCCGATGCCCGGCGGAGGCTAGATCTGGCCAGATCTCCGACGACACCCGCCAAATCTGCATCGGCGGCAGCCAGATCTGCAACGACGACCAGATTTTGAAGAAACGACAATGCCCGGTGACCGGCGGTGACCAACGGCGACCGGCGAGTGGCGGTGCTCCAGTGTTCTAGTCGGCTTCAGTATGACTTCAAAGCTTGAAGGGCGTTTTTGTCCAAATACAAATAATAACTCCTATTTAGGTATTTAGGTAAATACCTCCTCAACTTATTCTTTCATTTTGTACTAATATATAATACAAAAATCATAAACAATAAATTAACAAAAACCAAGAATCTATAAATAAAAATGACAAATCAAAGAAAATAAATAATTTAATAATACCAATACCATCACATTAATTATTTCATGCATATATCATACGACGTATAATCTAATCCATACAATACCAATTTGTTTTACCGGTATAGCAATATTAACCCAATAATTTTTAAATTATACCTATTTGTCATACATTCAGCATATTAAATATTTAACTTCACACCTTTACTCCTTTAGTAGACATTATTTCACTGTAATCACACTAAAACACTTGTTAACTAAAAAGTTAAATTCTTTATTACCTTATTTAGACATCTACATGTGACACGTCGCTGCCTGGATGCGCAGAAGATAATTTTCCTATTCTAATTTCCAATTATTAAGTAGTTATACATAATACTAATAGTAATAGCTTAGATTTTGAAGGCCCCCTTGGCATGTGAGGCCCAAGGTTGTTGCCTGGGCTAACTCCCCCAAAGCCTCCTCCTGTTAGCAAAACCTTGGATTCATTCTTTTTAGAGTGCTTCGACTCAAGTGATTTATAGCCCACAGAGTGACCTTAACCCAATCCAAATCTATCAAAACCAATTGTGTATGTCAACCATAGAACGAATGATACCTGAAGAAATATCAGACACAAGTATGCTCTTGCTGAAGTGGCGTGTAAGCCACCATTTGCAACGAAGCATCCAAGACTTTTGAGATTCTGGGGCAAGAAATATTCTTGGGACACAAATACAAAGATAACCCGACGATTTTTGTTTCAGCCCATCACCGCCATCAGCACACACAGACATAGTATCTCCTTCAGCTTGAGAAAGCTTCATCAAGAGACACGCAAACTCCCTCCACGTGTTGCACTTTGCGTAAGTAGCATCTAAGTTTGATGCTATTATTTCCACCAGTTTTTCAGTGCAGTAGTCCCCTGAGGTTAAGTACATAGCAATTCAAAATTAAACAAGGAGAATTTATAATGCTTTAGTGGAAATAAAATAATGCTTTAGTGGAGAGAAAGGTTGGACTTTTTCTCGTATGCATCACATTGCCTCAGATAACAGTACCTTACAAGCATAATAATAGATAAGTTTTTAGGGCATACATAAGAGCATGTGGGTGAGGGGAGGTCATTGTTTTGAGGTGGAGGAGCATACCTCTCTGATGCAAGCTAATGAGCTTTCCCAATGAATAGTCACAGGTCGGGTCTTTTTGTAATATGTCCTCATAGCATGTAGCATGTTTGATATAGTTGTATCTATCAAAATGTTCTAATAGGTGAGCCTTCAGTCTGCACAACAAAGCAGTTTGACACCAAATATATGAATACAACCAATGATGAAGATACTAACAACTTCATTTGTACCATAAATAAACTCTCTAACGGGTGTAAATCTTACAGGAATGTCGATTTTTAGGAAGAGCTAGATGTCAGGTGGGTGGGTGACTTGAATCTAGTGTGTAGTTAAAGACTAGTCAGAGTTGAGTGATGCAAAAGAAATTAGGACGAGCCTATGGGGGGCAATAAGCAGATTTGACACCATAAATGTAACATAAGTATATTTTATTTATGGTACAAATGAAGATGCTAACAACTTCATTTGTACCATAGATAAAATCTCTAACGGGTGGAAAAGCAATTTGACACCAAATATTGACTTCGGCTTAATGCAATAAGCAGATTTGACATGATGGGATCTTTAGATGTCCACAGGGGATTATTTGTTTGGCTAAAATGACTACATGCACTGAACTTTCTAAACAGAATAGCATTTGGTAGCATATATTTCAGCCAAATGAGCAGGTCATAAGCTATTTACTCTGATTATTCAGCCGGTTCTAAATATAAGCAGAAAAGGGCCAGAATTAGCTACCAGATGAATCCTTACTACATCACATCAACTATGGTGCAGTACTCCACCCACAACAGTTTAAACTGCCACCTTGAGTTGACATGGATTAATGCAATGAGCAGATTTGGCATGATAGGATAGCTGTAGAATGTTTCATAGGGATTATTTGTTGGACTAAAATGGCTGAATCCACTCAACTTTCAAAATTGGAAAGCATTCGGCAACATACATTTCAGCCAAATAAGCAGGTCATAAGCTACTTACTCTGATAGTCTGATTATTCAGCCTATTCTAATGATGAGCAGAAAAGGCCAGAGTTGGCTACCAAAAGGACCCTTATTCTATTTAATCAACTATACTGCAGTACTCCACCCACAACATTTTACACCACGCTACCCCTACCATTTGAAGGGGGGCATTGTAAAAGAATGAAATGTGATGAAAATATTTAATAGCAACACTACTCTTGTGTACTTTTACATGCAAGACAATGGAGTGCACAACTGGTTATTTCCAGTTGATGTGTGTGAAAGACATTATAGAATATTCTTTAGAATATGTTTTAGAATATTCTTCTATCTTTAGAATATGCTTTAGAATATTTTAGGAATATACTCTAGGATATTATTATTGTATAGAATCTTAAAGGAATATTCTATCTTTGTAATGTATATATATATGGGCTTGACCCTCCAATGAAATACACACAAAAATCATTCTTCTCATTACTATTCTATCTTTAATTCTTACAACATGGTATCAGAGCAATCTGTTCCAGTTTAGCTTAGCAGTATTTTTCAGAATCTCAGTTCATGCCTCAGCCAGAACCTTAGCCCAAAATTCAGAACCTCAGTCCAAAATCCACAGTTTCACATAGCATCACCTCCACCCTAAGCAGTCACGCCTTCCGCCGCCGACCTTACACTCGAAATCCGCAGGCCACACGCGCCGTCAGAGGACCTCGCAGACCTAATCGCAGACCCAATCGCCGGAGAATCCATCGGAACTATTTTCCGGTGTCTTGAACGGTATTATCTTTCTGTGACTTTGCTTATTAAGTAACAACGACATTCAAGGATAGTATTTTGGTCGCTGTAAGTTTACTTATTACATAGCATCTTATTTCTGCAATTAAAAAAAAAAGTCAAAAAAAAAAAAAGTCAAAAAAAAAAAATCAAAAAAAAAAATGCCTGGTTCTGATACAGACACTTCCACCGTACAACATGCTCAGCCTTTGGTAGTTTCCGAAGTTATTCCCATTAATTTTAAAATTACTGAGAATAAACTTTGTGGCTCTAACTATCTTGAATGGAGTAAAACTATCAAACGTTATTTACGAAGCATTGATAAATACACCCACTTAGTTGATGACCCGCCAAAGGAGGAGATTGATAGAGCTGCTAATGCTGTCTGGCTTCGTGATGATTCTAGATTATTTATCCAGATTCAGAACTCCATGGAGAATGACGTCATGGGGTATGTTAGTCATTGTGATACTGTGAAAGAACTCTTTGATTATTTGGAATTTATGTATTCTGGCAAAGGTAATCTTAACCACATCTATGAGGTGTGCAAAGCCTTTTACAGGGCAGAAATGAAAGATAAGCCTCTCACAGCTTATTTTATGGATTTCAAGAAAACGTATGAAGAACTTAATACCTTAATGCCCTTTAGTCCTGATATCAAAGTGCAGCAGAAACAACGCGAACAAATGGCAGTCATGAGCTTTTTGGCTGGTCTTACGTCTGATTTTGAAACAGCCAAATCACATATCCTATCTAGTGATGTGGTCTCTTCTCTTCAAGATGCTTTCAGTAGAGTGCTTCGCACTGACACTTCATCCACATCATCAGCACCTCAGCCAAGCAATGCTTTTGTGGGACAAGTCCCAACATTCCCCAATGGAGGTGAGAAGTGGCCACGCACAGGACCGATTGGCAAAGGAGTAGTATGCAACTACTGTAAGAAACCCGGACACTTGATCAAAGATTGTCGAAAGCTAAAGTTCAAAAATCAAAGAAATCAAGTCGCTCACATTGCTTCCGCTACACAGCCATCTAATGGATCCATCATTATGTCTTCGGAGGAATATGCCAAATTCCTAGGTTACCAGGAGGCTCTAAAGCATTCATCTACTCCTATCTCAGCTGTAGCTAATTCAGGTAATCCAAACACATGTCTTGTATCTTCATCCTCAAAATGGGTTATCGATTCAGGAGCAACAGATCATATGACAGGTAATCCTAGTCTTTTTTCCTCATTCCACACACCTCTTCATTCTTCTAGTGTGACTTTGGCTGACGGATCTACGTCACCCGTTCTTGGTACGGGTACAATTGTCCCAACACCTACCTTACCTTTGTCACCCGTCCTAAGTCTTCCAAATTTTGCTTTCAATTTGATTTCGATCAGCAAAATCACACGTAAACTTAATTGTTCCGTAACCTTTTTTCCTGGATATTGTGTATTTCAGGATCTGTTGACGAATCGGGTTATTGGTAAAGGATATGAGTCGGCCGGTCTCTATCTCTTGGATACATCCTTACCCAAATCAATCTCTTGTCTTGGCATTGGAACTGTGTTAGAGGCTCACTATCGACTAGGTCACCCTTCTCTTCCGTTGTTAAAGAAGCTTTATCCTCAATTCAATAAGGTGTCATCTTTACAGTGTGATTCGTGTCAATTTGCAAAACATCATCGAAGTAGTCTAAGTCCTCGAGTCAATAAACGAGCACATGCTCCTTTTGAACTGGTTCATTCTGATGTTTGGGGTGCTTGCCCTGTTGTGTCCAAATCTGGTTTTAAATATTTTGTTACCTTTGTTGATGATTATTCTCGTATGACTTGGATTTATTTCATGAAACGTCGTTCCGAGTTATTTTCTCATTTTTGTGCCTTTTGTGCTGAAATCAAAACTCAATTTAATGTACATGTTCGTATTTTAAGGGGAGACAATGCTCAAGAGTATTTGTCTGCCTCATTTAAGTTGTATATGGCTCAACATGGCATAATTCATCAAACTTCATGTGTAGACACACCTCCCCAAAATGGAGTTGCTGAACGAAAGAACAGACATCTATTAGAAACTGCGCGGGCTCTTCTATTCCAAATGAATGTGCCAAAACATTTTTGGGCAGATGCTGTGTCTACCGCATGTTTTTTGATCAATCGAATGCCATCTACTGTTTTAGATGGTAAAACTCCATATCAGTGCCTATTTCCAAATAATGAAAATTTTCCTATTCCTCCTAAAGTTTTTGGTTGCACTTGTTTTGTACGAGATGTTAATCCCCATTTAACAAAGTTAGATCCCAAGTCATTAAAGTGCATTTTCTTAGGCTACTCTCGAGTTCAAAAGGGGTACAGATGTTTTTCTCCAAGTACAGGTCGGTATATTGTTTCAATTGATGTCTCCTTTTATGAAAATACACCATTTTCATCAACAGACACAAATATCTGTAGGGAGAATGATGATATACTCATTTACACAGTCACTATACCCGAGTCCAATACTTCAGCAGTTCTTCCCCATGTTACTTTTCCTGAGCCTAGGCCTCCGATACACTTGGTATACACCCGTCGACACAAAGTGCAAGATCACCCTCCACCTGTGGTTACTTCTCCTGATACTGATCCGATCTCATATCCTGAACCGACACCTGCATCTTCAGATCCTGTCTCTACATCAGATCTTGATCTCCCCATCGCACTACGTAAAGGTACACGGTCTTGTACTCATCCTATTTCTTCATGTGTGTCGTATAATCAGTTATCATCTGCCTCATGTTCTTTTATTGCTTCCATTGATTCTATTTCTGTTCCCAAATCTGTTAAAGATGCTTTGTCTCATCCTGATTGGCGTCATGCCATGGTAGAGGAAATGAATGCTTTGGATCTTAATGGTACCTGGGATTTGGTAGACTTGCCTACAGGGAAGAAGTCTATAGGATGTAAGTGGGTCTTTGCTGTAAAGGTTAACCCTGACGGATCCGTTGCTCGATTGAAAGCCCGATTAGTTGCGAAGGGTTATGCTCAAACCTATGGCGTTGATTATTCTGACACATTTTCTCCTGTTGCTAAATTAACATCTGTCAGATTACTTATTTCTCTCGCAGCAACTCATGGTTGGCACTTACATCAATTGGACATTAAGAATGCATTCTTGCATGGTGATCTTCAGGAGGAAGTTTATATTGAGCAACCTCCGGGGTTTGTTGCTCAGGGGGAGTATGGGAAAGTTTGTCGACTTCGCAAGTCTCTTTATGGTTTGAAACAGAGTCCCCGTGCATGGTTCGGGAAATTCAGCCAATCAATTGAACGATTTGGGATGATAAAAGGCAAATCAGATCACTCTGTATTTTACAGACAAACGAAAACAGGTATTACATTGCTTGTGGTGTATGTCGATGACATTGTGATTACAGGGAGTGATAATACAGGTATTTTGGCCCTAAAGAATTTTCTTCATAGTCAATTCCAGACGAAAGATTTGGGCTCATTGAAATACTTCTTGGGAATTGAGGTTACACGGAGTAAGAAAGGCATATTTCTATCTCAACGTAAATATGTGCTTGACTTACTAACTGAAACAGGGAAATTGGGGGCAAAACCAAGCAGTACTCCCATGATTCCCAATGTACAACTCACTCATGAAGGTATGCCATTCGAAGATCCGGAAAGATATAGACGGTTGGTTGGAAAACTTAATTATCTCTCAGTTACCCGTCCAGATATTGCATACTCAGTGAGTGTAGTAAGTCAATACATGTCATCTCCGACAGTGGATCATTGGAATGCTGTAGAGCATATATTATGTTACTTGAAGGGGACACCGGGACGAGGTATTGTTTATCAGAATCATAATCACATGAGAATAGAATGCTTTGCAGATGCTGATTGGGCTGGATCTAAAGATGATAGAAGATCCACATCTGGCTATTGCGTCTTTGTTGGTGGTAATCTCGTCTCTTGGAAAAGTAAGAAGCAGAATGTGGTTTCTCGTTCGAGTGCTGAATCAGAATATCGGGCTATGGCACAATCGGCATGTGAGATAATCTGGATAAACCATTTATTGAGTGAAATGGGATTGAAGACACCAATGCCTGCTAAACTCTGGTGCGATAACCAAGCTGCTATACACATTGCCAACAATCCAGTGTTTCATGAGAGAACAAAACATATTGAGATCGATTGTCACTTTGTTCGAGAAAAGATACAACAAGGATTGATCTCTACAGGACATGTGAAGACTGGAGAGCAACTTGGAGATTTGTTCACTAAAGCACTAAATGGAATTCGTGTTGGTTACTTATGTAACAAGTTGGGCATGATAAATATTTATGCTCCAACTTGAGGAGGAGTGTGAAAGACATTATAGAATATTCTTTAGAATATGTTTTAGAATATTCTTCTATCTTTAGAATATGCTTTAGAATATTTTAGGAATATACTCTAGGATATTATTATTGTATAGAATCTTAAAGGAATATTCTATCTTTGTAATGTATATATATATGGGCTTGACCCTCCAATGAAATACACACAAAAATCATTCTTCTCATTACTATTCTATCTTTAATTCTTCTCTTGTGTACTTTTACATGCAAGACAATGGAGTGCACAACTGGTTATTTCCAGTTGATGTGTCTGTGTTATTTCCTTCAGTCAACTTTAATGTGTCGGCGTGTCAATGGTGTCATTTATTATGTACTCAACAGCACATCCCAAACCATTGAAACACCTAAAACCTTCACCATGTTAATACCAGATATTTGTATTAAATTGAAAAACCAATCACAGAAATGATGATGAAGTGATGAACTTCCAGAGTTAATCACCGGGATTAAATGCTGATGATGAATAACCGGGATTTGGTGTGCATTCCGGAGTTAAATGGTTGAAGCAACACATAGTTGACGGTAACAGGGATGTTGAAAAATGCACAAAGACAACTCCAAAAATAAGAGCTTTGATAGGCAATTATATGAAAAGCAAAATGAAGGATAAAGTGAAAGTGAGTGTTGAATTGGATGATGAAGATGATGAATTGGACGAGGATCCTACCACACAAGGATCAATTTGTGTTTCTTCTATTCATCCAGTTCCTAGTTCTGGAATGGCGAGCAAAAGGAAGCGTGTGGAGCAGTCTACTCTAAAGTTTCAGCATTCACTACCAAAATCAAGTAAGCCAATCAATTTTGTTGCTTCAATGATTAGAAAGTTGCCTGAATAAGTGATTGAAGAAAGGCGCTCTTTGAGTAAGGGTCAACGGACTCTTGAGGCTTGTACTAAATCCAAAGAAGATGTGAAGAAAGTTCATTGGTACATTGCAGATTTTTTCTATGAGAATGACATGCCTTTCAATGTTGCAAACTCAAGAAGCTACGAGATTATGATTAAATCAATTGATCAGTTTGGGCCCGGACTGAAACCTCCATATTACCATGAATTAAGGGTGCCTCTTTTCCAGGAAGCTGTGAAGGATACAGAAAAGTTCAAGGAGAAACATAAAATTGCTTGGAAGCAATAAGGATGTACACATATCGGATGGATGGTCGGATAAAAGGAGTCAACACTTGTTTAATTTTCTCGTTAATAGTCGAGAAGGAACTTTCTTCCTGGAGTCAATTGATGCTTCGCATGAGTCACAAGATGCAAAAATGTTGGAGCATTGCTTGAGAAACAGATTCAAAAGATTGGCAAAGAGAATGTCATTCAAGTATTGATAGATAATGGGGCGAACTACAAAGCAACAAGGAAGCTACTAGAGCAGCGACACTTTCCTGGACTCCTTGTGCGGCTCACTGCCAAGACCTTGTGATGGAGGATATTGGGAAACTCATTGAGTTTAAGCCTTGGATTGATAGTGCGAAACGTTTCACTACTTTCATTTATAGGCATACAAGGATTCTAAGTGCAATGAAGGAGAGAAAAGGTGGAAGAGATCTAATGAAGGTTGGCATGACACGGTTTGCCACAACATTTCTCACTTTGCAAAGTTTATGTAAATATAGAGAACCATTGAGAAATCTGTTTGTGAGTGATGATTGGAATAATTTGAAGTTGTCAAATACAACAGTGGGGCAAAGAGTATGTGACACTATTATTGCTTCTGAGTTTTGGAATGGGGTGGAGGATTGTTCGAGAGCAACTCATCCACTTCTTGTTGTTCTGAGGATAGTCTATGGCGATGAACAGCCATATGAGCTTGCCATGGCTATGAGAGAAGCTTAGAAGAAAATAAATGAATCATTTGCAAATAAGCCCAGAGTGTTGAAAAAGCTGATGAAGATTATTGAGGATCGATGGGCAGATCAAATTGAAGTAAAGTTGTATGGGGTTGCTTTATTTCTCAACCCTTCTAAATATTTTGACTTGAAAAAGACTAATATTGCATATGCTTATGAGCAACGAGAGTTATTTAATAATGTCTTTTACAAGATGATCGGTGATGATGAGTTGGAAGGCAAGATTAGTAAGCATGATTATGATTTCTTGCATGGAGGATTTCCAAAGCCATTACCAATCAAACATCAAAAAACAAAGACTCCTCATAAGTCATACCTCCGTCCCAATTTGATGATCTTGTTTCTTATTCACTTGATCAACACAAACCACTCTTAATCTCTTACTTTGTATATCAAACTTTTATCGAATTTGATTTTTCTTTTTTGCGACTTAGTAAAACTTTAAATGTAGTTTCTAAACATGTAAATTTTGTTTACTAAAAATAATGAGTGTGGACAGGAATCTATTTGCTTTAGAGTCGGTCAAACCTCGTAAACCGCAATCAGACCATCAAATTGGGACGGAGGGAGTAGTATTTATTTTAAAATTTTATGACTTCTATATTCTAATTTCTAAAAACTCTTGTAAATATTAATAGTTGATTGGTGGAATGCTTTTGGTGGCCATACTTTGGGTTAAGGCCATGCTTTGAATATCATAATAGGCCTTCGTGTTTGTTCTTCGGATTGCAAACACAATTGGAATACGTTTGAATTTGTAAGTTACTTAAATACTCAATCTCTTTGAAGTCTATAGGTTTTTAACTACTTTCTTCAAATTATCATTTTCATTTTCATTTTCATTTACCCCAGTGTCGCAAAGGCTCCCACCTACGGTGGGGTAAGGAGAGGTCGGATGTACGTAGTCTTACCCTGTACTAAAGCACAGAGAGACTGTTTCCGGATGACCCATAGTGAAAATCCCGTCCAAAATTGCATGGACTGACGGCTGCTTCATAACAAAGAAGCGCAGACAGTTTAGTGAGCCATTTTGCTTTATTCCATCATAATCTCAAGCCAAAAAATAATGAATCTTTGGCTCCATTGCAAATGATGGAAATACTTTCTTCAAATTATAATAAGTTTTATTTATTTCTTTAGATCCACACCAAGAAAAGAAATAGGTTGGATAGCATTTTAAAATGTAAAACATATTATGAATTTATTAGTGTACCTATGTCGACTTCTCGCCGCCGCGATGCCACCACGATGGGCGCCATATCGCCATGGCGGTATGGCAGTCAGGAGGCGCCGTGCCGCGAAACCCCGCTATAACAACTATATTTTATCCTTTTTATTATGTATAAATTCTTTTATCTTGTCATTTTTATTTTTGTCATATATTTATCTTTATCTTTATTATCATACCTTATCTTTCTTTTCCTTTTGGCTCCAATATCATGTATTGATTCATGTTAGCCGACCCAAAATCTTTTGAAACTAAGGCTTAGATGTTGTTGTGTTGGTGTCACAAGTAGTTCCATAGTTTTCCATGGACCAAGGATTAGATTCAGATAAAAGTATAAAACTGTTAAGTAAAAAAAGTTATGAATGTATGATTAAAAAGGGGGGGAAGTACGGAAAAGATACATATGGTTTGGGCCATTTTCAAAATAGGGACACGTGTTTTATTTTTTAACAAAGTAGAACATGTGTTTCAATTTTGTTATCACGGGAGGGGCATGGCGCTTGACGCGGTTAGAAATCGCCAGAGGAAGACGATGAACAATAACTCTTATTTCCAAAAGTGCCCAAAAAAATAAAAGAAAAATACTAGGAGGTGCGCCTCGTCAAGGAGACCACCAGATAATCTTTCTTTATTGTTCTAGTCACCCTTTGCCAGAAAGTCAACCGGAATAGTGATATTAACAAATTCATTTTGAAAAATAATCCAAACAGAGCCGAAAAATCCAAACAGGAAGATGATTTGGAGGTAGGGTTGTATACGAATCAAATAATTTGTGCTTGATTCGGGATTCAAATTCGTATAAGACGATTCGAATTTGAAAAGTTCAAATACAAATAAGAATACTAAATTTGATTCGAATTCTTATCAAATACAAATATCAAAATATTTGATTCGAATGTTAATCAAATATATTCGATTAATAATAGTGATAATATTAATAATAATAGTAATAACATTATAATAACTTTTAAAAGTGTATAAACATTTCAAGATAATTTGTAATAAATCAGACATATCATAAGGAGTAAGGGTTGTAAACAAAACAAATAATTTTAATTCGATTCATGATTTGGATTCATAAATTATTATTTAAATTTGAAAATATAGAATATAAATATGAATACAAATCTGATTTTTGGTTCAAACATCTTCCAAATACGAATACAAATAATTATGTATTTGATTCGAAGAATAATGAAATATATACTCGTTTAAACATAAGCAAAATCAATTATCTAGTATGTGTGTGTGCATCAACTACCCACTATATGTGTGTAGTATAAACTATGCATATAATTGTGTTTTTTTATTATCAACAATGCTAAATATATAACATAAAATTAGAATCGTTTAACTTTGATAAAATACAATTATCGACTTATTTCACACATTATAGGTATAATTTCTAATATGTGTGTGCTAATTTTTATTTCAAGAACTTTGAAATATATTTATGTATAGTAATCATAAAATTGATTCACTTTAGTATATTGTTCACAACCTAAAATGAATCGATCCGTTAAATTTTAAAGAAAAATTAATGTTACAAATTAAATTATAAAAACACATAAAGTCATGGCATGCATTTATAACATAAGAAATATAGGAAAATGTGTTTTAAAATGATATTTGACTAATATTTAACCTATTATCAAAACGATTATTCGCATTCGAATTCGTATTCAAAAAAAATACACAAATACAAATACAAAATCACATTATTCGACTCGATTCGGTTCGTTTACAACCCTATTTTGAGGTCTCCTTGACGAGGCACACCTCCTAGTGTTTTCTTTTAATTTTTCGGGCACTTTTGAAAACCAAAATTAATGTTCATCATCTTCCTCTAACAATTTCTAACGGCGTTAGGTGTCATGTCCCTCGTGTGATAACGGAATCGAAACACTTGTCCAACTTGGTTAATAAATGAAGCACATGCCCCTATCTGAAAATGGGTCAAATCCTAGGATGCACGGAAATGCCAAAAGAGTCCGGGTTTCCGCTTCCGAAATGTCCCGGAAACGGGAAACGTCCGGAAATGCCCGGGAAACTTCAACCCGCGTCTCGGCCCATTTTTGGGTCGGGTCTAGATCCAGAAACGTTCTAGGAAACGCCACATCAGCCCATAGAAACGTTTCTGGGCCAAAATTATTAAAAAAAAAAGTAGCGGCCCAACCTCGCGATACTGTTAATCGTCCGCAAGGGCGAAAAGAGATCCAGTTCCGTACTTCCATCTCGCCTCCAGCCAGGCAGCCGGCTTCGCCCTTCTCCCTTCACCGATTGCAGTTGGCCTTTTCTTTTTATTCGGAAGGGATTTGTGTTGGCTTCGTCGGGTTCAAAAGGGTAAGTTGCGTTGGAATTGTCGGCTGTAGTATTAACTATTAAACTGTGTGGCTGTGAATAACTCAATAAAGTATAAACTTTAGTGAATTCAGTTGCTTTTCTTTTTTTTTTTACTTTTGTTTTGCTCAGTCAATGAGTCAATAAAAAAGTTTATTTAATTAAATAAATTTCCTAAAAAAGTATAAAGTTTAGTGAATAAAGTGATTTTTATTGTGCTTTTTTCAGTCTATTACTTTACCAATAAAATGTAATTGTAAAAAAAATTATTCTCTTCATTTTTAGATAAGCTCTATGCATGTATCTTGAAGAAATGGAATATCTAGAATTTGCTAATCTGTCATTAGATGAGCCTGAGCTGGAGATTGTGTTTATTACCGAATGAATTATTAAGTCGTGTCCTTTTTATTAATTATTCATACAATGGCTTACAAACAATGTTGATGTTTGGATAATTTATTTCCTAATTAATGCATGTAAACTTGACCTATTTTAATAGTCATCTAGTTTTATTACTAATACTTTAGTTTTTAGTTGTAAAAAAAATTATTCTCTTCATTTTTAGATAAGCTCTATGCATGTATCTTGAAGAAATGGAATATCTAGAATTTGCTAATCTGTCATTAGATGAGCCTGAGCTGGAGATTGTGTTTATTACCGAAGGAATTATTAAGTTGTGTCCTTTTTATTAATTATTCATACAATGGCTTACAAACAATGTTGATGTTTGGATAATTTATTTCCTAATTAATGCATGTAAACTTGACCTATTTTAATAGTCATCTAGTTTTATTACTAATACTTTAGTTTTTAGTGCGACGTTTCCTCGCCGTACCCGTACCCTTAATTTTTGAGATTAAGGTTTCCCCGTCCCTGTTTCCGTCCCCGTTTCCGTACCGGTGCTACTTAGGTCAAATCACAAGTAACTGTTCTGTACTCTTCCCTGAAAAAGTTGTGTATCCGATTGGAGGTCTGTCTATAGAATTATCTTAAAGACTAAAATACTGAATATGGAGCCAGGCCATGAAAGGTGTAAACCTGGAAGTTAGACTTATAAATCATCACATGATATGGCTCAGTGTTGTAAAATAATCAACTAATAATCTTCCCAACCTTATTATGCCAACCAAGTTCACCAAAAATACATTTTCCCCTCAGCTTTTATACAACACCAACAATAGTCATGAAAAAGGAGAAGGGTATAATTACCTCAAATGGAGAGTTGTACTAGAGTCGGGAGAAATTTTTTCAACAATAGCAAGAGCCTCATTAACCTTATCCCCAAGAAGCAGCAGCTGAAAAATAAAAACAAAATCAAGAATCATTGAGCAGCACTACAACAACGACCACATGTTTGTCTATAAAATATAAATGTCTCCAGTGCATTTGTGGCATTTGTTTATTTCCCATGCTCTAATCCTTTCATAGTCTTGTCCAAAAAGATTCATGCGAGCATATGAATAAGGCATTAAAACAAACAAAAGGGTTGGCAGTTTAGTACTGCATGATATTCCACACGAAGGCTATTATAGTACAGTCTAGCACCCCAAAAACAATCCTAGGATCTTGTTTCCAAATATTATGTTGAGGTCCATGAAGAGAAAAGTGAGCAAGAAAAGAAGCTATTAACATGAACCACTGGATTTGGTCTTTTATGAAATTCAGTGTTGTCAATCCCAGATAGCGGAGCGGAGTGGCCAGCCTTGAAAACGCTATAGCGGTATAGCAGATAGCGGGATGACCGCTATTCAGGCTACTTTTAAGTATAATACATGATTAACTAGAAACATATAATTACATTACATACACATTAGTAAAGTATGATATATGCCATTTAAAGTTGCAAACATCTTAAAATTCTTAAATCTTAAATTACTGGGAAATATGCCTTAGTGAAAACTTAAGAAATCTTAAAATTCTTAAAATATGAGCAAAACATACTTTTAATGATTAAAACATCTAAGTGAAAACATTGAATCAAAAACAATTTCCTGGTTTAAGCCTTGATAAATTAAGTGTATCAATCAACCACCGCAAAGAAACAAAGATGGAGCACAGGGCGTTCTTGAAAAAGATGAAGCAGAAAAATTTGTTGAAGCAGAGGTCATCCCAGAGCAGAGAGAAGAGAAGGCATAAGGATTATTTTTTTTACTCCGTATTATTAAAACATGGAGCCGTTTTAAGGGTTTCTAAACTTCTGCGTACTTGTACAAGGTTTAAGTTGGTTACTATTTAGTGTTGAAAGTCTACTTTACCCCTGTCCTTCCGCAGTCAAAAAATAAACGCAGAAAAAACCCTAACAGACCTTCGATCGCAAGAAGCGACGCTATAACGTCCGCCTCTACCTGTATAGCGCCCCCGCTATAGCGCCCGCGAAGTCCGCTACACCCAAACGCTCCGCTACAGGAGGTCTAGTAGCGCCAGACCTCTCCTCCGCTCCGCTCCGCTCCATCGCTATAGCGCAGCTATAGCGCGCGATTGACATCACTGATGAAATCACTGCAGAAAGTGTCTACAATACCTGTACCAGAGGATGAAACGCTTCAAGTGCTGGTGGCATTAGGGAGAATGCGCGACTCAGATACATTACTGCACTATTATAGTAATCGTTGCGCAATCTCGTATGAAAATCATATAACTCCTCTAAATTTTCCAACTGGGGAAATTGTATAGGCAATAACAATGGCGGCAGACCTATAAACGAGAGTAGCTATCAAAGATTATCTTACTAGTATTCATCAAACCTTTAATATCCAAAAAAAGAATAACAAATACTCCCTCCGTCCCATTGGACTTTGCCAACTTTCCTTTTTTGGTTGTCTCAAAAAACTTTGCCACTTTCCTATTAAAGCAGCTAATTTGCGGTTCTCCATATTTCTCTCTCCTCTACACAAATCTCAACCACACAGTTTTTACTATTCTTATTTCTCACCTACTTTTCACTTGGCAAAGTCTACCGGGACGGAGGTAGTATAAGCTAGACGAAAGACGCATCCACCCAACAGTGGAAAATGCATCAATGCATCAAAGTGTACACAACTTTATTAGGTTTTAGCAGTGTGATGAAAATATTCTACTTACCACGAGTGTAGTAACTAGAAAAGGATGGAGGGGAAGTGTCATTTGACATCTCAAGTTCACTCCTCTCATCAGAATGCAAAGAGATATCTTGTGGCTGGTTATCATCTTCACGCTTTATTTCCCGGGGGTTATTTTCAACATCCTTGTGAACTTCTCCACATTTATAAACACCAGCTTCAATGTATTCTTTATCGTTCCGAATAGATGTGCTGGAATCACATGTTATCAATGAACTGGCTTTTTTACCTTCAGATGCACCTTGCCACTTTGAATCCATGATTGACATAAACATATTGTCTTGTGATATTTCTGGTTGCATGTTGCTTCCAAATTCTTTCTGCTTTCCCAAATGCATCTCTGCTGGAAGACTAGAATACCATAGCTCATAAAATGTCAACCCTACAACTAAATTTGAAATTGGATCACTCTCAAAACCCCGCTCCTGCATTAGACTGTGAAACCACCATCAATAATCAATAATCAAAATAAAGAAAAGAGCACATACTTCTCAACCACATCTGAAATTAAATTCATTTGGGCATTCAAGTTAAGCAGTAAGTCGGTAACTTTCATATATATGTTGTTATTATGAACATGTACCAAATACCAAGGGTTATACCTTAAAGCGGCTTGATATGCACCATCCATCTCCTTCCTTGTCAAACAGAAAACGGTGTGTTCCAGTTGAACTGCGACTTTATTCTGACAAAAAAAAGTAATTTTATATTGTCGTAAGAATGCCTATTTAGCATTAGCGGATTAACCAAGTTATATGCAATACTATGCATTCACTCCCAAGCTAGTAATTTAGGTAGAACAACATCGAAGGCTATATGCTCTGTAAGTCTATTCAAAAAAAGGCGCAGGCATCGACTAGTCGCTAGGCGGCAGCCAGGCACCCTAATTTTAGTCAGTTTAGTTAAAAATCATTCAACTGGCTAAGTAGGACGCCTAGACCCAACTAATCAGGTGCCTAGAACTGGTTTTATAGGATTGAACCTGACCTTATTCATGGGTGTCAAGTAAACAACTAAGAAACTAAGGCAACAATTTTGTACCATTTACAAACATTATAATTTTTACATTTATCGAACATCGATCAATTACATAATTGAGCTACGAGATGAATTATAAAGTAATATTAAATTTTATGACTATATCATTCATAATTTCATACATGTTGATATCTGTGTGTGTGCATGTATTTTCTACACACCTGGGCTCAAGGCTGGCGCCCAACTTGCACATAGAGAGCTTTTGAAGACTGACAATATGTCAAAATAAATGCAATACTGTTTCATACATATACAGCCTGTAAACTAAAAAAATGAATAGAGGGAAAAGGGGGGAAACAAAAAATCATGTTTACCTTAATAGGCCATTTCTTCATAGGCCCAAGCTTTGACATCCACATCCCATAGACATTTTGGATCTTTCTTAAACTGAGAGAGTCACCTTTTAAATGTTTGAGAACCTCCAGAGAAGCCTACAAATGGTGATTTTAATATACAATGATTAGGCAAAATGATACATTATGCAGGAACCCTAAACAATGTCAACCACACTGTTTTTATGATGATAATCTAAACCATAGTATTTCAAATTCCAGTTTTTGTGTGTACACAGATGAAATACAAAAAATGATACATAAGGCAATTATACGAAGATTCTGCATACATATGACAGACCAATGATTACATACCACTGTAAACGTAAAAAAGAAATTGCATACAAGCCGAATAGGATTGCAGCAGCGTACTAGTTCATACCGAGAACTTAGCTCGAGTCTTACAAATAGCATTTTCTTTAGAAGTTGCTATATGAAGCACGCTCAACACTCCACTCGCCTCAGTCCAGTTATGCCGCCGCAGCAACACCTGCAGTAGTCGCCGCAATTTCTTCCGGTGTATAGAACGTATACTAGTGAAGTCTCTGCGTGAGCTCCCAATGCCACGCTTCAAGCAATATGACGGCATCGCCTTTGCCAATATCACGCCATTGACTTTCTGGATCTTTGTGGATAAACTCGGTTCCGAGTCGGAATCGTCACAGAGTCTCCGACGACACCTTCTCCGCTTCGTTTTCGCATCTTCTGGTTCCGCTTCTCCGGCTTCCATAGAAAATTGTACCTTTGCATTCGGTTCTTCGGCTTCCATTGCAATGGGAAGAAAAATAATACCGGGCTAGACGCCAAGAAGGGCTTGTTTAGAGCATCAACTGTCAGGCTGGTTCACGGGAAAGACCGGGGAAATTCGTTGTTCTACATTGAATTTTGATTTTGGTTGGTTATATAGATAGGGTTTTATAGGGTTTGAACTTTAAGCATGTTGGGACTGATATGTTGTTTTGTTCTGGTCTGGTCTTGTATGATTTTGTCTCGTCTTTTTTAGTCTGGTCTGGTTTGATACAAAAAATTATTTTTTATATTTTTTGCATAAAGATTTTATTTTTTATATATATTATAATCCATAAATAATTATATTTTATTCATTTATAATTACAAATAATAATAACAATAACTATAATAATAATAACAATAAAAATAATAATAAAGGGTTGACACTTCTGCCTCAAGTTTCCCGCTGAGGGGGGCATTGGCTACTCCCGGGGGAATCAGAAAATCGCCTGCGCCTGCTATCTTCAAGTCACTAAGAAGGTAAGTAAGACGGAATTCCGCGTTGACACCATCACCGGAACCATCGACCAAGAAGAAAAAAGGCCGAGGGCTGAACCAGCCGAGGACGTAGAAGACTTTGCGCTCGATCCGGCCCAGCCGGAGAGAGTCGTGAAGATTGGAGCCCAACTCCCTGAAGATCTGAAGACCGGTATCACCGACGCCCTCCGCGCCTACTCCACTGTCTTTGCATGGGGGCCGGAGGACATGCCGAGAATAAGCCGAAGGGTCATTACCCACCGCCTCTCGGTGGACCCCTCGGCAAAAGCCGTACAACAACGAAGAAGACCCCTCTCCGCCGAGAGGAGGGAATTTGTGAAAAAGGAGGTCGCCATGCTCCTCTCTATTAAGCACATCAAGGAGGTGAAATATCCCTCATGGCTAGCGAATGTAGTCCTCGCACAGAAGCCCCCTACCTTCCGCATGTGTGTGGACTACACCGATCTCAACAAGGCGTGCCCTATGGATCCATTCCCTCTACTAAATATTGATCAACTGGTGGATGAGACCGCAGGGTGTGAGACCATGTCCTTCCTCGATGCCTTCCGAGGGTATCACCAAATTTTCATGCACGAGGAAGACGTCGAAAAAACTGCTTTCATGACTCCCGAGGGCATCTTCTGCTACCTAGTAATGGCCTTCGGCCTAAAGAACTCAGGGGCCACTTACACCCGGATGGTAGCCCGAGTCTTTCAGGCCGTCCTAGGGCGCACCATGGAGGCCTATGTTGACGACATGATCGTCAAGAGCAAGCAATCTTCCAGCCATGCTGACGACCTCCGGGAAATCTTCGCCATCATGCAGAAGTTCAACCTTCGGCTAAACCCGAAGAAGTGCACCTTCGGCGTCCAAGGGGGCAAATTCTTGGGCTACATGGTGAGCCGAAGGGGTATTGAGGCCAATCCCGAGAAGATCCAGGCCATCATCGACATGGAACCCCCACGCAATGTGAAGGAAGTTCAACGGTTGACGGGGCGCCTGGCAGCCCTCAACTGCTTTCTATCTAAATCAGCGGAGAAGTCTTTACCCTTCTTCCAAATCATGAGGAAGACGGCTGGTTTTCAATGGACTTCAGAATGCCAGGAGGCTTTCGACGAACTCAAACGGTATCTATCTTCACCTCGTGTGCTCTCCAAACCCAAGGTAGGGGAGACCCTCTACCTCTACCTTGGGGTCAGCCCGGCAGCCATCAGCTCTGTGCTCATCCGGGAGGAAGACGACATCCAACATGCCATGTTCTACGTTAGCAAGACCCTAAGGGAGGCCGAGCTCAGGTACTCTCCTGTGGAAAAGACGGTGTTAGCCATCGTTTGGACCGTCAAGAAGTTGGGCCACTACTTTCAGGCTCACCCGATTCAGGTCCTCACTCATCAACCCCTCGGCGCCCTCATGAGGAGCCCCACCAGCTCCTCCCGCATGGTGAAATGGGCTATCTTCTTGAGCCAGTACAACATTGACATCCGTCCAAGGCCTGCCATCAAGGGCCAAGCCCTGGCGGACTTTGTGACGGAATGTACCGCAAGGGCAGCCACGGACGGGGAGCCCTCGGCTACATCGGACGACTGGTGGACCCTCTACACCGACGGCTCCTCCGCGACCAAAGCATGCGGGGGAGGGGTAGTCCTCATTACTCCCGAGGGCTTCAGAGCCTACTATGCAATCCGCTTCTCCTTCAAAGTCTCCAATAACGAGGCCGAATATGAGGCCCTCCTATGTGGCCTTCGGCTGGCTGCCAACATGAGGGCTCGGCAGATCCACATCAAATGCGACTCCAAGTTGGTCGTTGGCCAAATCTCCGAGGAATATGAGGCCAAGGAGGGAAGAATGAAACAGTACAAGGAAGCGGCCAAGGAGTTGCTTAAGGTATTTGAGGCACACTCTCTCACTCAAATACTGAGGGCTCAGAACTCTGAGGCCGACATATTATCTAAGCTCTCGGCCGACTCCCCCGAGCACATCTCCAAAATTGCCAAAATTGAGGAACTCAGCCTCTCAAGTATCCATGCAAGCCCCGTTATGAACATACAACAACGCCAAAAGGATTGGATCTCAGATATCACCGCCTTCATCTCCACAGGGCAGCTACTCGAGAATGAGACCCGCGCTAAACTGGCAAAGCTGAGGGCTCCTAGCTACACCATCGAAGATGGAAGGCTCTACAAACGATCTTACAATGGCACGTTACTTCGGTGCCTTCATCAAGATGAAGCCGAGGTCGCAATGGAGGAAGTGCACAGTGGCACTTGCTCAGCTCACTAGGGACCCTTCTCCATGTCCCGAAGGCTCATTCTCCAGTGCTACTTCTGGCCAACCATGGCCAGAGATTGTGTTGACTTGGCCCGGAGGTGCACCGCATGTCAACATTTCCAGAAAGCCCCCGGCAGACCAGCGGTCAACTATGCCCCCATCAGCACATCTGTCCTCTTTTCTCGATGGGGGATAGACCTTGTGGGCCCTCTGCCGAGGGGTACCTCCAACAACAGATACATCATTGTGGCCATCGACTACTTTACCAAGTGGGTGGAGGTTGAACCCCTCGCCAGCATCACAGAGGCAAAGTGCCGTCACTTCGTCCTCAAGAACATCCTCACAAGGTTTGGCGTCCCCCAGCAGATCATCTCCGACAATGGGACACAATTTGAGGCAGCCCCCTTCTGTGCCCTTCTGGAGGCATGGGGCATCAAACACACCTTATCCTCCGTTGCCTACCCTCAAGGAACCGGGCAAGTAGAGAATGCCAACCGGACCTTGCTCGAGGGCCTCAAAAAGAAGCTGGAGGCCGAGGGCGGTGGCTGGGTGGAAGAACTCCACAACATCCTTTGGGCCTACCGCACCACCCCTCGGCGAGCAACAGGTGAAACACCTTTCTCCCTCTGCTACGGTTTTGAAGCCAAAGCTCCTACGGAAGTCACCCTTCCCACCCGGAGGGTGATCCAATACGACCCCGAGGTCAACGACAGCAACATGGCTCTCGACCTCCACCTCATTTCAGAACGCCGGGAGCAGGCCTTCATCCGGGCAGAAAATTACCGAAGGCAAGTCAAAAGCTACATCGACGCCAAAGTTCGCACCAGAGAATTCCAAGTGGGGGACTATGTCCTCCGGAGGAGGGAAGCCAGTCAACCGACCGAGGGAGGCAAAATGGCACCAAAATTCGAAGGTCCCTACATCATAGCAGCCATCGTCAAACCTGGAACTTACAAGCTCAAACGTCCCAACGGGAAAGAAGTCCCTAGGCATTAGAATGTACACCACTTAGTTAAATTTTATCAATAATGTAAGAGCGGCCAAGCCCTCATAACTAGTGAATGTACTATCCTATGGCCCAAGGCCTCCAATTTCGAAGAATGAAGATACATTCAAGATACCAAGAACAAAACACTTATGAGCGGCCAAGCCCTCATACCAACTAAAGACCCCAGGCCTCACCTCGAGAAGAACCCCCTCCGGCGTCAAGTGCCGAGGGCGGACACCATCAACACCTACGACAACAGTGAAAACACCATGTGTTATCAGTCAAGACCCCTCGGTACCAAGTACCGAGGGAGGGAACTCCTATCACCAACGACAAGGAACGCCATGTGTTTCATTTCCCTTCGGCACCCAGTGCCGAGGGTACACCCCCACCTTCAACATCAAAAAAGAAAAGATAAGAACACCAAGTGTTCCTACAGAAGACCCTTCGACACCCAGTGCCGAGGGTACACCTCCATCATCAACATCAAAACGAAGAAAAACACAAAATGATTCAAAGAAGACCCCTCGGCACCCAGCGCCAGGGATATGCTCTCCTATCAACTTCCAAACATCTGTTGGGAAACACCAAGTGTTTCCTCCGAGGGCCCTCCGGCACCAAACGCCGAGAGCGAACACTCCAATCAAAACACCAAGTGTTTCATTTGAAGACCCTTCGGTACCAAGTACCGAGGGTAGACACCTCCATCAACTACAACCAAAGAGAATACCAAGTGTTCCTACAGAAGACCCCTCGGTACCAAGTACCGGGGGCTACACATCGAAACTAACACCAAGTGTTGTTTCTAAAAGCCGTACCCCACGAGGACGCATATACCGAAGGCGCCACCATCGGTGCCGGCGGCACGTAGTGCCCCCGGCCATTTGCAACTAGTGTGCAAATGAAAACCCTTCCTTGAAACGCTTTCCGCGTCACTACCCCCAAGGGTATGACAGGCACGAGAAATGCCCAGGATTCGACTTCCAAACCGAAACGCTCCCCGCGCCACCACCCCAAGGGTGTGGCAGGCCACGGACTATGTCTAGCGCCGAGGGGACGACTTTCAAAAATGAGGCGCTTTCCGCGCCATCCCCCAAGGGGAGGCAGGTTACAGACCACCATATCTTGTGCCCAGGAAACGACCCTCAATCCCCTCGAAACTCGGAAGGTTAACCCGAGGGAGGAGAGCCATTGGTGTATTCTGATGGTCTCCTGATAGGCCCAGCCTTACCAAGAAACCAAGTTTCTTGATGCCTTCCCTTCACCACCAACCAAAAAAAAAGAGGGGGTGAAGGGGAGTAGACTCAGCGAGAAATCAAAGAGTACACTCCAACAGATCACAACATGCCGAGGGCTCCCCACGGGAACACCTCCGGTAATTGAAGGCTCCTATTTCCCGAAGGATACTACTCAAACAAATATCATCAAGAAACGGCTAAGTCCACTGCTTGGTCACCTCTGGTCACACAAACACCGAAGGCTTCAACAATACGAAGGGACTGGACTACCCGAAGTCTACTAAACGGTAATTCAAACAAATAACGAGGGCATCTGTTACGCACTAATACTGAGGGCCCTTACCCCATGACAAGGGACACAACTGGATAAGTCAAACTCTACAACTCTCCAAGCAATTGCCGAGGGCACATACTCCTCGTCGGCTTCCTTTACAACAACAGGAGTCCACACTTTTCCTAAGTCCACACTTTTGGAAAATGACAACAACCGGAGGCTAATATATCATCCGACACCCGAAGGCATCTATTACAAATCATCAAAGGCCAACCGAGGGGGCTTATTTCAAGATATCTGCCCCTCGGACGGACTCCTCACTGACCGAAGGTTCAACACCTACATCACAGTTTGAGATTTTTCTAAGTCCCACATATTTGGCCCTCAGTCAAATACTCATACAACACGAGGGCCTCACGATCACCCGAAGGGTCCTATTCATATACCCGGATGGATCTACATCCGAAAGCTCAACATCAATTTACGCTTGGAAAATATTCTAAGTCCTAAATGAGTAGCCCCCGGGCATCCCGCAAAAGGACGCAGAGTCAGAGGGCACCCATCACCCGAAGGCGACCCGGGTGCCCAATCAATATTACAACCAAGGGAATATGATAGCCGAAGGCTATGCGATACAACAGCACTTAGAAAATTTTCTAAGTCCTACATGTTTTTCCCTCGGTCAGCTACTCATACATCAAGAAGGGATGCCATCGCCCGAAGGCTCCCAAGGGAAAAGCTACACTTGGAAATCTTTCTGAGCCCTACATATTTCACCCTCAACATATAAAGGGACCCAATAGCCGAAGGCTACCTATCAATCAAAGGCTACAGTACACAAGGAATCAACACTGAGGAAATTTTTCTAAGTCCTAAAGAATTGGCCCCCGACCTAATCAACATTTCAGTTGGGACTCCACAGTAGCCGAAGGCTACATGACATACTACACTTGCCAAAATTTTCTAAGTCCTGTACATTGGGCCCTCGGTCCAATATTCACACATCAGGAAGGAGGCTACCAGCCGAGGGCATCCGAGGGCAAAACTGCACCTAGAAATTTTTCTAAGTCCTAGGAATTGGGTTCTCAACCTAATCACCACACAGCAATGGAACTACAAACACCCGAAGGCCCTATGGTGTGTCACACTTAGAAAAATTTTCTAAGTCCTAATTATTGCTGAACCCTCGGTTGTATATCCAGCAGAGGGTGCCCAACTACCGAAGGCTTCCAAGGGCAAGCTACAATCAGAAAATATTCTAAGTCCTAAAACATACATTCAAAGGAGCAAAGGCATACATCCAAAACGAGACGAAGGCATACATTCAAGAAGAAGTGAATTAAGGAAAACAAGCCATATATACAAAGCCCGAAGGCAATCATTCAATCATCACAAAAAGGAGTCAATGTAATTGTTACAAACAGGCCGAAGCCGAAGGATCAATGGTGTTCATTACAACAGAAGTTTCAAATATTTACTAAGTACAAATCTTCTCTGCGACTTCAGCATCGTTATCTCCGGGGGCATCTTCCACGGCGGGTTTGGAGGAGACTTCTTCCCCAGCAGCATCACCTCCGACGGCTCCGCCCCCATCACCCCCCATCATCACAGAGTCGTATATCGTCGGCCGCTCTTCGCCCGGGGGGAGGGGAACTCTCACATCTGGTTGTAATGGAGGGAGGCCGTATGCTGAGGGGTCAAATTGGTCGAGGGATACGCCAAAGTGCCTGGCGAGCCTCCGGTAGATCAGATGCTGGGTAAAGAATTCACCCCCCTGGTAGTAGGCGTCGCCCCTATCTGTCAGCCAGTCAACTCCGGGGCCTTCTACCCAAGCATCCACCGAGGCCGCCACCACGGAGGTCACCCACTCCTTATGGCCCTTGGCCCTCCAGCCCTCGACAAGGAACTCAGCAACTGCCTCCTCTCGGGCCTTGGCCGCAGCTCCCTCCTTGGCAGTTTTGGCCTCATCGGCAGCTTTCTTCGCCGCCTCGGCAGCAACCCTCTCGACCTCTGCCTTGCCCTCGGCTATGCCGTCGACCTTGGCCTTCTCCGCCGCCGCCTTCGCCTCCCGGAGGGCCTCCTCCAGCTGCGCAGCATGCTTCATCGCTTCAGAGTTCTTGCGAATCAGCCCCTCCATCTTCTTATCTTGCTCGGCCTCGTGAAGGCGCATTTCCTCACGCCTCCGGGCCTGTTCCCCGAGGGCTATGCAGGCCTGCAAACAATGATCAAAGGAGTTAGATTATTCCCCAGGAAAAATGGCACCAAAATTCGAAGGTCCCTACATCATAGCAGCCATCGTCAAACCTGGAACTTACAAGCTCAAACGTCCCAACGGGAAAGAAGTCCCTAGGCATTGGAATGTACACCATTTAGTTAAATTTTATCAATAATGTAAGAGCGGCTAAGCCCTCATAACTAGTGAATGTACTATCCTATGGCCCAAGGCCTCCAATTTCGAAGAATGAAGATACATTCAAGACACCAAGAACAAAACACTTATGAGCGGCCAAGCCCTCATACCAACTAAAGACCCCGGGCCTCACCTCGAGAAGAACCCCCTCCGGCGTCAAGTGCCGAGGGCGGACACCATCAACACCTACGACAACAGTGAAAACACCATGTGTTTTCAGTCAAGACCCCTCGGTACCAAGTACCGAGGGAGGGAACTCCTATCACCAACGACAAGGAACGCCATGTGTTTCATTTCCCTTCGGCACCCAGTGCCGAGGGTACACCCCCACCTTCAACATCAAAAAAGAAAAGATAAGAACACCAAGTGTTCCTACAGAAGACCCTTCGGCACCCAGTGCCGAGGGTACACCTCCATCATCAACATCAAAACGAAGAAAAACACCAAATGATTCAAAGAAGACCCCTCGGCACCCAGCGCCAGGGATATGCTCTCCTATCAACTTCCAAACATCTGTTGGGAAACACCAAGTGTTTCCTCCGAGGGCCCTCTGGCACCAAACGCCGAGAGCGAACACTCCAATCAAAACACCAAGTGTTTCATTTGAAGACCCTTCGGTACCAAGTACCGAGGGTAGACACCTCCATCAACTACAACCAAAGAGAACACCAAGTGTTCCTACAGAAGACCCCTCGGTACCAAGTACCGGGGGCTACACATCGAAACTAACACCAAGTGTTGTTTCTAAAAGCCGTACCCCACGAGGACGCATATACCGAAGGCGCCACCATCGGTGCCAGCGGCACGTAGTGCCCCCGGCCATTTGCAACTAGTGTGCAAATGAAAACCCTTCCTTGAAACGTTTTCCGCGTCACTACCCCCAGGGTATGACAGGCATGAGAAATGCCTAGGATTCGACTTTCAAAAACGGAACGCTATCCGCGTCATCACCCCAAGGGTATGACAGGCACGAGAAATGCCCAGGATTCGACTTCCAAACCGAAACGCTCCCCGCGCCACCACCCCAAGGGTGTGGCAGGCCACAGACTATGTCTAGCGCCGAGGGGATGACTTTCAAAAATGAGGCGCTTTCCGCGCCATCCCCCAAGGGGAGGCAGGTTACAGACCACCATATCTTGTGCCCAGGAAACGACCCTCGATCCCCTCGGAACTTGGAAGGTTAACCCGAGGGAGGAGAGCCATTGGTGTATTCTGATGGTCTCTTGATAGGCCCAGTCTTACCAAGAAACCAAGTTTCTTGATGCCTTCCCTTCACCACCAACCAAAAAAAAAGAGGGGGTGAAGGGGAGTAGACTCAGCGAGAAATCAAAGAGTACACTCCAACAGATCACAACATGCCGAGGGCTCCCCACGGGAACACCTCCGGTAATTGAAGGCTCCTATTTCCCGAAGGATACTACTCAAACAAATATCATCAAGAAACGGCTAAGTCCACTGCTTGGTCACCTCTGGTCACACAAACACCGAAGGCTTCAACAATACGAAGGGACTGAACTATCCAAAGTCTACTAAACGGTAATTCAAACAAATACCGAGGGCATCTGTTACGCACTAATACTGAGGGCCCTTACCCCATGACAAGGGACACAACTGGATAAGTCAAACTCTACAACTCTCCAAGCAATTGCCGAGGGCACATACTCCTCGTCGGCTTCCTTTACAACAACAGGAGTCCACACTTTTCCTAAGTCCACACTTTTGGAAAATGACAACAACCGGAGGCTAATATATCATCCGACACCCGAAGGCATCTATTACAAATCATCAAAGGCCAACCGAGGGGGCTTATTTCAAGATATCTGCCCCTCGGACGGACTCCTCACTGACCGAAGGTTCAACACCTACAGCACAGTTTGAGATTTTTCTAAGTCCCACATATTTGGCCCTCAGTCAAATACTCATACAACACGAGGGCCTCACGATCACCCGAAGGGTCCTATTCATATACCCGGATGGATCTACATCCGAAAGCTCAACATCAATTTACGCTTGGAAAATATTCTAAGTCCTAAATGAGTAGCCCCCGGGCATCCCGCAAAAGGACGCAGAGTCAGAGGGCACCCATCACCCGAAGGCGACCCGGGTGCCCAATCAATATTACAACCAAGGGAATATGATAGCCGAAGGCTATGCGATACAACAGCACTTAGAAAATTTTCTAAGTCCTACACGTTTTTCCCTCGGTCAGCTACTCATACATCAAGAAGGGATGCCATCGCCCGAAGGCTCCCAAGGGAAAAGCTACACTTGGAAATCTTTCTGAGCCTTACATATTTCACCCTCAACTTATAAAGGGACCCAATAGCCGAAGGCTACCTATCAATCAAAGGCTACAGTACACAAGGAATCAATACTGAGGAAAATTTTCTAAGTCCTAAAGAATTGGCCCCCGACCTAATCAACATTTCAGTTGGGGCTCCACAGTAGCCGAAGGCTACATGACATACTACACTTGCAAAAATTTTCTAAGTCCTGTACATTGGGCCCTTGGTCCAATATTCACACATCAGGAAGGAGGCTACCAGCCGAGGGCATCCGAGGGCAAAACTGCACCTAGAAATTTTTCTAAGTCCTAGGAATTGGGTTCTCAACCTAATCACCACACAGCAATGGAACTACAAACACCCGAAGGCCCTATGGTGTGTTACACTTAGAAAAATTTTCTAAGTCCTAATTATTGCTGAACCCTCGGTTGTATATCCAGCAGAGGGTGCCCAACTACCGAAGGCTTCCAAGGGCAAGCTACAATCAGAAAATATTCTAAGTCCTAAAACATACATTCAAAGGAGCAAAGGCATACATCCAAAACGAGACGAAGGCATACATTCAAGAAGAAATGAATTAAGGAAAACAAGCCATATATACAAAGCCCGAAGGCAATCATTCAATCATCACAAAAAGGAGTCAATGTAATTGTTACAAACATGCTGAAGCCGAAGGATCAATGGTGTTCATTACAACAGAAGTTTCAAATATTTACTAAGTACAAATCTTCTCTGCGACTTCAGCATCGTTATCTCCGGGGGCATCTTCCACGGCGGGTTTGGAGGAGACTTATTCCCCAGCAGCATCACCTCCGACGGCTCCGCCCCCATCACCCCCCATCATCACAGAGTCGTATATCGTCGGCCGCTCTTCACCCGGGGGGAGGGGAACTCTCACATCTGGTTGCAATGGAGGGAGGCCGTATGCTGAGGGGTCAAATTGGTCAAGGGATACGCCAAAGTGCCTGGCGAGCCTCCGGTAGATCAGATGATGGGTAAAGAATTCACCCCCCTGATAGTAGGCGTTGCCCCTATCTGTCAGCCAGTCAACTCTGGGGCCTTCTACCCAAGCATCCACTGAGGCCGCCACCACGGAGGTCACCCACTCCTTAGGGCCCTCGGCCCTCCAGCCCTCGACAAGGAACTCAGCAACTGCCTCCTCTCGGGCCTTGGCCGCAGCTCCCTCCTTGGCGGTTTTGGCCTCATCGGCAGCTTTCTTCGCCGCCTCGGCAGCAACCCTCTCGGCCTCTGCCTTGCCCTCGGCTATGCCGTCGGCCTTGGCCTTCTCTGCCGACGCCTTCGCCTCCCGGAGGGCCTCCTCCAGCTGCGCAGCATGCTTCATCGCTTCAGAGTTCTTGCGAATCAGCCCCTCCATCTTCTTATCTTGCTCGGCCTCGTGAAGGCGCATTTCCTCACGCCTCCGGGTCTGTTCCCCGAGGGCTATGCAGGCCTGCAAACAATGATCAAAGGAGTTAGATTATTCCCCAGGAAAAAAATACTAAACTGATAAGAGAAGGAAAAAGGAAGCAGATATTTACAGTGAGAGAGGACCGAAGGATCCTGTTCTCGAGGGCATCATCGTCGTATGTCTCGAAGACTTCTCTATCCATCTTCGAGGTGATGCCCCACAGGAAGGCCCTCGACTCGGCAGTACCGTGCATCAGTGAAGCACCGGGGGCAAAGGAGAGTTGACGGATCTCCCGGGGTAATTCCTCCGGGGATGGATTCACCGGAGCCTTCGGGGTGACCGAGGCCAGAGGCCCATCAGTGGCGGGCATGTCATCAATAACTATGAGGGGGGCCGCCCCCTCGACAGCGCCTCGACGGCTTTCTGCATCTTGGTAGGGGGCTCCACCCCCTTACCACCCCTCTTCTTCTTCGCGGACGCCTCGGCCTTCGACCCCCCGGTCCCCTCAGCAGCATGGACATCCCCAGCAGAAGGCTCTACGACCTTCGGGAAAAACGCATCGGCTGTCTTCTGGCCCGAGGGCCCCTTCTCCTTGGCCTGGGTTTTGCCCTTCCTTTTTGCAAACAGAGCATTGGCATTCATCTTGCTACCTGCAAAGAACGACAACAACAAGTTAAAAGATTAGAACCGAGGGGTCAGAGACACAACGACAAACATGACCAAAAAAAAAATCTAAGTACAAAAATCTAAAGCCCTCGGCCACTACCTCCTGCTCCCA